GAGACCGCAGAAGAGAAGAGAAGGAACCGCAGGTGTGGAAGGTGAAGCGCACATGCGAGACCGTAGGTGTGGTAGGGTGACTGCAGAAGCGGTTCTGGTGGATTAAGTGGAAGTCGCAGATGCGGTGGTCTGGACCGAAAAAGCGGTCCGCAGATGGCTGCAGGTGCGAGATGCTTGGGCAAAAAGTATATAAGGTGGACTTCGCGAAATTTGGGTTATTTTCCACCATTCCTATTCGGACATGAAGCTTTTTGGAGGGTTTTGAAGAGGGAATCAGGGGGGTTTTCATTGAGGTAAGTTTCTTGAACCTAAAACTAGATTCTATGGTGATTTTCAGTTGATTAAGCATGAAATTTGTAGGAATTAAGGGTGAAAATTGAGAAATTAGGGCTTGAAATTGGAGAGTTTAAATTGGTGATTTGAGGGTCCATTTGATATCCGATTTTGATGTTCTTGGTATGTATAGACTCGTGGGAGGATAAAGATTCTAGATTATCAAATTCCAAGACGTGGGCCCGGGGGTCGGGTTTGGCCAATTTCGGTATTTTTGAATTAATTTGATATTTTTCGTATGGGTTTCAGTCCTTTAGTATATATTGATGATAATATACTGATTTTGGTTAGATTCGGGGCATTTAGAGTCCGAATCAAGAGGCAAGGGCGTTGCAGGCTAGAGTTTTGGCTTGTCTTAAGGTAAGTAACGCTTCCAAACTTAGTTCTGAGGATCCGAAACTCCAAACTATGTGTACTATGATTACTATTGAGGTGATACAAATGCCAAGTGACGGGCGTGTGGGTGTACACCGTGAGTATTGCGGCCCGGGTCATTCCATGGCACTGGTTAGTGACTCTTTCTTGCGGATATTTGTGTTGTGATTATGTGACTAAGTTAATGAGCTGTAAATCATGCTAATTATCATGTTAAGGCTTCACGCCAATACTGTTGAGACTCGAGGGGTCGTTTCTTGCTGTCATATCATTAGCTTCATTGCTATTCTGTACTCAGTCATGTTCATGCATATTATACTCTTAGTCTCAATTATTGTTATTTGGCACATCATATCATTGTTTCGGGCTAGTATCATGACATTTTGAGCCCGTGTGTTAGACTGGAGAGTGATGACTGAGTGAGGACGAGAGCCTGATATTGAGTGATAGTATGGGATCGGGTTGCACATCGCAGCGAGATATTGATTATGCGTTTGTTGGCTTACTATAGCGCTTGGGCTGAAAGGAGCCCCTCTGGAGTATTTACACCCCCAGTGAGTGCAGTTGATGATATTGAGGGATGGATCTTCCCTGGACATGGATCTTGTCTGAAGTATTTATACCTGGAGATGGATCTTCTCCATAGGGCTGGAATGGCCTTCTTCGGTACTGGATGACTGCGGTCAGTGATGTGTATACATTCCAGGATGGATCTTCCCTGGTCCGGATGGCCATATACAGTACCGAGTGGTTGAGCACTTATGATTGAAGGTACACGAAACATTGTTCATGCTATATGTGCATTGGTACATAAGGATTCCTGAGCTTTATACTCCGTACTGTTCAGATTGTATTTGTTTACTACTGAGTTTTTACTTGAACTACAAGCGTGTCTACTTTTCTGTACAATTTAATTGTATTACCTATTGAGGTTTGGTTCATCACTACCTGCCAGTCCATAGTTTGGACTTGTTACTTACTGAGTTATTTTACTCACATTACCCCATGTACCTTGTGTGCAGATCCAGGTATCTCAGGCACGGTAGCGGCTGTTGACTATTCCAGTTGCGGACTTCACGGAGATAGCGAGATAGCTTCCTGGCGATCGTAGTTCTGCTTTTTCTTCTTCTCTATCTTCTTATTAGTACATCATTGCTATTTTCAGACTATTTGGTCTTGTCTTATTTCGGAATTATTGTAGCATGGCTCATGGCTTAGTGACACCCGAGGTCGGGCTTGTATTTTTCGCTTTGTTTGATTTTAACTTTATATCTTTATCGAATTTCAGTTGAAAAATAGTTTTTCTTACAGTTTTAAATGAGATATGGATTTAATTGTGGATGTATCGGCTAGTCTAGTTTCACGATTGGCGCCATCACGACCGGGTCGGTTTGGGGTCGTGACAAGACTCTTGAATTTTTGTTATACCCAAAAACTTTTCTAACCTCACAACCTTAGAGACAGAGGATTAATCAGAATTTCGTACCTCTGGTTTTGATAAAGTCTATCCGATTAACTTTACGACAGGGAAATAAGGCATCCGACCTTTAGCCATTTGACTAGATGGCTTTATAAGAAAGGGCCCTTATGTTTATGGTGCTTATGAAGAGGACGTCTCATGTTCATCCGGGCACAATTATTCGGATTTGTAATCCTTATTTGCTTTTAAGTGTGAGTAAATTTTAAGAATAATCAGATATATACGAGAATGTTTTAAAAGGTGCAAGTTTTACTTGATTTCATTCCTTAAATGTACACAAGGGTTTATAAATTTGAATGTAAGACAATTTATAGGAAATGAACAAAAATACCTTGCATGAGAATTGTGGTCGACCTGACATTTATTGGGTCCAATCGGTTTTTGATTCTGATTCCTTCTAATTTTTTTCACAAGGCTGATCTAGCAGTCCCTAGTCCTTTATCTGGAAGTCCCCAGTCTTTTTTATTTATTCTGGAGCCAGCTCGGGCTATCTCCAATATACTGTAAGGATTGTTCCTAACCATATTTAGATATTTTCGGTACTTATTATTGCGGTTTCTGCTGCTCTGATACAACATTCCCCAACATTCGTAGACATTACTAGTTAGTTTTGGGTGACTCGCTGCGAAAACGTCCCTGTCTCCTGTCAGTCTGTGATCGCAATCGGTATTGTTCAAACCTGTGTTTGGAATGCCTCTAATCAAAGTTCAGTTAACTTTGCTTCCGGTTTGTAGAAGATGTCGATTTAATTATCTGATCATCTTCTATATGAATCTTTGACTCATACTTGTTATGAACATCTGCCCACATTGTTGCCTGAAATTCCAACAAACCCTCCTTCAAACTTTTTAAGGCATCAAACTTTAGGGATTGATACCCTTGGAGAACTCTTCCGCTGCTCATTCATACAGTGCTGCCAGCAATAACATTCTCTCTTTTTGGAACCAGATCACAAACTCTCATAGCAACTCTGGATCTCCTCGAGCGATTCTAAAAATTTATGCTTTTCTAGCTTAAACTTTTCTTGCTCCGGCGTGAGTTTTGATGAAAGAATATGAAAGCATTTCAAAAGAATCAATTGAGTGTTCAGGTAAAAGTGAGTACCATGTTAAATCCCCTTTTGTTAGAGTTTCATCGAATTTCTTCAGCAAGACAGATTCGGTCTCGTGCGGTGCCAAATCATTTCCCTTTACATTCGTAGTGTAAGTTGTTGTATGCTATTATGGATATGATGTTCCTTCATACTTTGTAATATCGGGCATCTTGAATCTCTTCAGAATCAATTTCGGGGTCGCACTTGGTTTCAACGGCAACTGCGCATAATTTTTTTGAATCCGGCCCCTTCAGTACTAGTGGTGCTCCTGGGATTTGATCCATCCGGGAATGTAATTCTTTAGCATTTTGATCCATTCGATCACTTATTTCCCTCATGAATTTCATGAGTTAGGTTTTAAAAGGATCATTAGCATTGTTGTCGTCCCGGATCCACTACCTGCACCACCTGCTTCATTTTTATTAAATCCAAATTCCTCCCTTGAAGTGATGTTTCATGTTCTTTGTGTTGTTTGAATTTCAGTCACACCATGAGAGACTCGAACTCCTCCATTGGAGTTATTGGAAGCACTCGAAAGTATTTGATTCAACTCCGCCATTACTTGATCTTGTCTTGAGAGATGATTCATGATTTTCCTTTGTTGCACCCACAAAACTTTGACCACTTCAACAGCATGGTCATCGTCCATATCATTAGGAGTTGGACTTCTTACATGCCGAGGATTTCATTCTTCGCAAACCGGAGTTGTCTCATCTCCTTCATTACGAGTTCCGATGGTTGGATCATCACATTGGAACATATCTTCACGCTCAGTGTTTGTTCCAACATTTAGAGAGTTATTCACGTCGTTACCTGCGATATCGGATTTATGCTTACAAGAGAAAAGTTTCAAAGTAAGTTAGTAAAAGATTACCAGATCAAAATAACACCACAATTTTCTATGCCTCACGGTGGGCAACAAATTGTTTACCCGTAAAAAGATACATTGAATTTGTAACGTGGTTTATAGAAACATAGATTAAATTAATAAAATAAGGTAATAAAGAACAAAGCGATTAAAATTAGGAGAATTAAAGAAAAGATAAGACTAAGCTTCAGAATGTTTCCGTAGGGATCAAGAATAATTAAAAAATCTCGGGCCACTTCTATAAAACTTAAAAGAATGAGAGAGAATATTATTCTTTTGCTCTTAGCATTTCTTGATATCTAACAATAGAATGAAAGCCTATATTTTATACTAGAGCTATGAGCTATATGATCTACAAATTATGCTCCTTAATTACTAATATTAATGCTACAATAAAAGGTAATTAAAAAGTAATAAATAATTATAATAAAAAATAATAAAGTCTAATAAAGGTTAATAGAGGAGTCTTCTATAACGTTTCTGTAACGATCATATCTTGAATTGCTTCTTATCTAATCATATGTTCGTATCCGATGTTACCAATATGATTGAATCATTGCCGACTGGTCGTGCTTGACATGTTGACATTATCACAACAAAGAAAAGGTTTACATTAGAGTTTCCTAGTCTGCGGACACGTTGACGAATAATTCGTCATCACTTAATTAAGCCACGTTCCTTATCTCTTTGTAATATGTGATTGATATTCGGTGATGTGTATGTACTAGGAATACAATTATAGAAACGTGATCTATTATTAACATACTAGGTGGTGACTGCCCGTGCCAGCACGGGCCCAACAATTCAGACCTGCAGATGCATAATAAAAACTCCAGAAAACATAATTTGGCTGATAGAAAAAGCATGTACTTCAACAGATGCATCGTTCCAAGGATCAATACCTGTGAAAATGCAAGTTTACGACTTGGAACAAGTGTTTACATTTAAATCTATATCTTGTCTTGATGTATAAAGTTATCATTTGATAATTCCTACAATAATGAAGTACAAAAATGACCAAAAAATGACAAAGGGGCACTTGTTCTCGCGAGTTTCCCGCCAAGCATAGCGTAGTTTGCTATCCTTCTGTGTCAACAATTTCTCCTTGTCTTGTGAGAAACGAAGTTACCTGTCAAGTAAAGGATAAACTACATGGTAAATTAAATTTTTGTCACATAACAAATTTTGATTCCAGGAAAGTTCTCTACAGTAGCAAAAATCATAGACAGGTCAAGTCAGCAACTCAAAAAGGTCTCATCTCTATCTAGGCTAATGCTTGAGAAATGGATACAATTACGGATAGAAGAAATTAATGACAGCTTGTCAGAAGGGAGGCTCCAAACCTTCTTATGAAAAATCCATGTGTGTTCAATGAAGAACTATACATAAGAGAGTAGCATGGCATGGTCAACATGTCTAATAAATAGCTATGTACTGAAATATTTGACACAAGTTAAGATTAAGGTAATACCTTTTTAGGTTGTTTCACACTATAGTAAGCCGCTTTTTTTATTGTTTATATCATTCTGTTTTCTTGAGGAAGCCTTGAACCACTGAATTTTGAAGTATGACATGAGCAAAGAAAAGGAACAAAGATGAACCATCAATATTTTGATGGAGAGCTTAGCAAGAAATAAATATTAAAAACACCAATGCTTACAATAGAACACTTTAGATAGAGAAGAAAGCTGAGAAGTTTGATCAAATTATATTATCAGTGTTTAAGAAACCAAAAGAAGTTCAAGCTTATAAAATTCTATTACCAAGGAAGTACCATAACAGAGTTATCGAGCTAAAAGCATAGCAACAACACCGACAACCCAGTGAGTTCCCACGAATGGGGTCTGGGGAGGGTAGAGTGTACGCAAACATTACCCCTACCCCGGAGAGTAGAGAGGCTATCTCTTCACTAATACCAATCTCAGAAAATCAGTAATAGTTTTCTTCTTTTGCTATTAGTGGTTTTTTTTACAAATGAGTTTAAAGTTATGTACAGAACATCGGTAAATACAGATGTGTTAATTCCATTTGTACATTTTTAACTTTTCTACATCGATACAATTGCTTTCGAATTCTCTCAGTATAACACTTCAATATTTTTAAGAACCCAGCAATCAAGGTGGACGAAGTTGAGCTAATATGAAAATTTTAGGTCCAGCAAAGCCAACACAAAGAGCGCAAAAATCAGCTTGCCGCGTAAGCCAAAAAGGCGAACAAGCAATCGAATTATTTTCTGTTTTGTCTTGGTGGAACTAATCACCTTAAATTGATTAAAATCAAGAATTGCAGCTCAAAATAGCGGTTGGTAGTTATAAAGCTTATGACCGCTAACTGGTTTACACTGTTGGAGATAAAAAAGGAGCAGACTTGCATGAATCAATGTTAGTAATTTCAACAGTTCTGACAGCGTTCTAAAATTCAACTAAATTAAAAATTGGGAGTTATTTACCAAAAGAACATGAAATAAAGGAACATACCAAAATAGATAACTGTCTTGGCTTTATAAAGTAATTGAAGCACAATAATCTAGCAGGCTTCTTCCCCGCGACTCTGACAAGACATTGCTCCAGTTGAGCCCCTGCCACAAATGTTGTCTTCTAAGCTACCCAAAAGATTTTGAAACAACAAACCAAGTCAGCTCTGAGTAGTTCCAATCTCCAATGACTAATCTCAATTACATGGAGTATCATTGACAGTCACAAGACTACTTGTCTCATAATGGCAAAGCACAATAAAGTTCTAAATGGTATATAAACACATAAATTAAAAAGGAAATAACAAGTAATATTTTCTGTTAAGGTGTTCATTAGTAATAAGAATATATTATTGCACTGTTGTTTTATAATCTTATTAGTAATAATTCCCCGATCTAACAACCGTAGAAGAATAATATGTCGTAATAACAGTCTAACGAAAATGGATTAACAACTAATGACTCCTTCATTCAACTTCAAAATATTGAAGTCAAAAGGAAAAGGTAAAAACAGAAAAACTTAAGCATATCAAATATGAACTTAATCTTTTGCAAGTAAATAATGTAGTGGTTATATTAGAGAACTAAAAGTAATACAAATGGGTAAAAGGAACTATTCTTTGGACAAATTAGTGACTGCTAAAAAAATGGCTCTTTAAATTCTTCGTTTATATTTCTGCAACATATAGTTGACTAACATTGATAATAAGGAAAACGATAAAACCTATTATAATAAAACTCATCTAACTTGTTGGAAAATATACATCAATATTAACTTTTTCCGAATTTCATAACTTCATCCACAAAAAATAACAGGTGAAAGTCACAAAGGATTTCAATCAGATTGATTTTTTTTTCCTACAATTAGAGTTGAGCACAAGTAATGTTCCCAAAAATAACTGAGTGCCGGAGAAGAATTGATGAAGACATCAACTGACCTGATAACATATGGAGATTTAGATAATTTTCGAGTTAGGGTCTTGATGGATGGAATTGGGGAATTTTATTGGGGGTCTTTTCTGGATAAATTATGAATTGACTGCAAGACTTCACACCAACACATGAAGAAAGTAATTGTCTGATCTACAAATAGAATACAACATGCACATAATAAATTTTCAAAACCATAATATAAAATTCTTAAATTAAAGTAAGAGAAAACAAGAAATACTCCTATTAAATAACGGATGAAAAGAGATGTTACAATGGAAGAAGGTCGGGCGGAATTTCTAGGAGAGAGAGAGGAGATGTCTTAATAAAAACTTACAATGACATATAAAAAGTTGCCACATATCTGCAATGGCATATAGAAAGTAATTAGTGAAATCAAACGCTGAAGAGAAAGAATAATGGAAGAATAATGCAAGAGAGTTGAGATCGAACAAACACTGTGAGAGAGGAACTGTGTAATACAACTATGTGTTGGCAGGAAATAAAGCCACGTACATCAGTGGCTGCCAGATTTTTAGAAAGGCAATGTATACTAATTTAAATGATTAAAATGCCCCCAACTAAAATTGTAATGACTAAAAACAGACAGGTCGAAACCCAAGCTCTTCTGTAATATAGATAACTAGACATTTGAATAAAAATTTAGACCATTTCTTCTCCTATATATATATATATATATAAGACGTAGAGATAAAATTATTGGGCGAGAGACAAGAACGCTCAAACTATTACAGCTTATTTATATAAGCATTTCAACTTTTCCCTTTCTTTATATTTCTTTTTATAGCTTTACTCAACTGTTTGAAGAAACACCAGAGCGTCAGTAGTTGCCATAGTGACGATTATCACACATCGAAATGCATATAAGAAATTTGAGGTTTTATTTTTTTATGAAAAAAATTAACTTTAATATAAAAGTGTTAAATTAAATGGATACCATGTTCGTGAAACTCTCTATGACTGTTAGAGAATAGCTTCTTTGCCAACTTTATACATTTAGGCCTTTTTTAAGAAGTGACAAAGTAAATTTGAAGTATAAATGACTTTGTTCTATCTTGAAGAGGAACTTACTTGTTATCCCTTAATATAAAAAAATACTAGCGATTAGTTACGCCTCAAATTAACCTTGCAGTGTACTATATTCTATTTTATCTAACATCACTTAGCCATTTCATGCTACAATATTTTATTTTGTAGATAGAGTTTTTATCGGCCGGCGCCAACCTATATATGGATCAGTTATAGCAGATTCAAATTGGAAAGCAGGAAGAAGAGTCAAGTTCTGCGAAGGCGGGCAAGAGGAACGATCATTTAAAAAGTGGAGGGGTTTTCTTGACTTGTGGGTGACTGTCTCTAATAGAAAAAGTGGCAGCAAAAACATAGTGGAAGGTCTTACTGGCTATGCTCGCCCTAGTGAGCTCTTGGCCATTATGGGCCCTTCTGGTTGCGGCAAATCTACACTTCTTGATGCTTTAGCTGGTAAATATTCTTGAATATATAATCGAACTTTTATGTCACTTGGCAAAAAGAGGTGTTTATTTGGTCACGGGCATATTTAAAGTTGAACACTATAGGTCACGGGTTCGAGCCGTGAAAATAGCGCAATTAATGCTTGTATTAAGTTAGGTTATCAACATCATACCACTTGAGATACGGCTCTTCTTCGGACCCTGCGTGAACAGGAATACTTTGTGCACCCTTATCTGATAGTTGCTAATCAACTTCAAGTGTCAGTCTATCTATTTCACCAAGAATTACTTATCTCCAAACACAGCAAAGGTAAAGAGGGGATATCATATTATTGAGATTAACTCATACTAGCTAGTGTATAATTTTTATATTTGATTTATTATAACGAATCATTTATTTTATTTTTCAGCAGGTGACTAATTCTACTTATTGAACTGTACCCATCTTCTAAGTGACTTGATATATAGGGTGTGTTTGGTATGAAGGAAAACATTTTCCGGAAAATGTTTTTTAATTTTTTTATGTTTGGTTGGCTTAAATGTTTTGGAAAACATTTTCCTTATCAATTTATTTTCCTTCAAATGTAGGAAAATGTTTTCCTTATCAAGAGAAGGGAAAACATTTTCCAAAGCTCCTTCTCAACCTTCC